TTCATGTTCCTATAGATCTGGGTACCTAGATGTTCATGTGAGAACAGAGTACAACTTTGCATCGTCTTAGGGAATATTGTTTACCTACCTCCTTTGAGACAGCATCTCTCACAGCCCGGGAGCTCACAAATTAGGCTAGACTGTCTGGCCAGCAAATCCCAGCAATCCCCTGTCTCTGCCTCCACACTCCTATGACTCCAAGTGTTTGCCACCACATCTGGCATTTTTATGTGAGTTTGGGGACTTGAACTCAGGCCCTCATGTTCATAAGGTATACAGTTTACTGACTGAGCCATCCCCAGGCCCTAGATCTTGATTTCTGAGACCTACCTCTAACACAAAGAAGCAGGTTCCTTCAAAAAGCGTCTAAGTTTTGGGTCAGGAAAATGCAGATTTAACTTAAAATTATTCTGGTGCAACAAAGAGAAACAGCCAGGCCATAGCAGGTGGAACAGCCCAATGGTCACAATGCGCGCACACACACGCATACACAACTTGATTAACAAGCCAGAACTGAGCATAAGGAACTCCAATTAACAAATGGAAAGAGAGATGATGAAAACGGAACGCACACAACAGTCATTTCTGCAGGGAGTCACGGGGGTGCTGAGTCAGCGCCGATGATCTGATGAGAAGCAGGTCATTTCCCTATCTTAAAAGTCTTGCCCACCACAGGACAAGCACTGAACACACAGGAAAACATCTTTACAGTAGGAAAGCCTGGTGGATGCCAACTATAACTTGATCCACTCTCACTTATAAATTGACCTGATTTGTCAGTTAGCCAACAGGCTAACTGCTGGCGCTGTCAAGGCCATCTATGTCAGAGAGTTCGAAGAAGGCTCATAGGCACACACCCTTTATGTAAAGCACGGACTGTCTACAACCATCAAAGACTCAGTCAAGCCGGCTGTGCACCACCACCACACACCTTTAACCCCAGCACTCGGGAGGCAGAGGCAGGTGGGATTTCTGTAGACCAGGCTGGCCTTGAACTCACCAAGTACAAAGCTACACAGAGAAACCCTGTCTCGAAAAACCAAAAAAGTACAAAGAACAACAAAAAGTGGCCCAGGTGAAGACCACAGCCCTCAGTTACACTCCCCACAACTCTAATACTTTGATTTTGAAACAGAGTCTTGTAGAGCAATGGCTGGCTTTGAACTTCCAGCAATCCTCCTGTCTCAGCTTTCTGAGGTCTGGGTTGACAGGCATACACCAACATGCTCAGCATCATCTCCAGCACTTTTTTCATTCTCCATCTCTCCTCAAATATTTAAACTGGAGACAATGCATGCCTTCACAGAAATTTCTGATTTGCTTGAATATACATACACACATTATACACATATGTGTGTATGAGTATGTACATATGTTTTCTCATATTTGCCTGTAGTGCCATCACTAATTTAAATGGGAGACCAGCGGCAGCTTCACAGAAAGTGATTAGCTGGGACGGAGAAGAAGGGAGTGGAAAGGAAGAGGCAGAGTTCAGACGTAATACACACACAGAATGGAGAACACACAGACGTAATTAATACACACAGAATGGAGAACACACAGACGTAATACACACACAGGATGGAGAACACACAGACGTAATTAATACACACACAGGATGGAGAAAACATAGACGTAATACACACACAGGATGGAGAACATACAGACATAATACACACACAGGATAGAGAACACACAGACGTAATACATACACAGGATGGAGAACACACAGATCTGTACAACGTACTGGGCACGGGCCAACTAGCACTGCACACAGAGAACTCCCATGAGCAGATGGGACACCTGGAGGGGGAGCATCAGCTTGAGAGGGCTAGACTAATTTAGTTCTGGACAAATTAAGAGTTGGCTGTCTTAATCACTGTCCTGTTGCTATGAAGAGACACCAGGACCAAGACAACTATTAGGAGAGAAAGCATTTAACTCGGGGCTTGCTTACCACTGTTATGAGGTTTAGTCCGTTATCATCATGGCAGGAAGCATGGCGCCTGCCAGCAGACCTTGGGGCAGTAGCACAGAACACATCCTGATCTTTAGGCAGAAAGACAGATTCTGGGTTTGGCATGGGATTTTGAAACCTCAAAGCTCACCCCCAGTGATGAAGTAAGTGGCATTTAAACGTATCAGCTATGGAGGCCATTCTTATACAAGCAGCTACACTGCCCATTAGACATTGGTATGAAGTTATCAAGTAGGCCAGTACCAATGGCTGTTGAAGAAGAATCTGAAGATCTCCAGTTATCCTGTGCACAAATCATGGTCAGAACCACACAAGATGGACCCATTACTACTGCATGAAGGACCTCGGGCTACCAGAATACCTAGGAGGAAGCTTCTAACCAACCCACGGGGATGCAAGCACATGCAACAATGATTCTGAATTCCCTACTGGTCAAATCCAGTAAAATATTTCAATTCTCCTGTTCGGGATAGACTGCATTGAAACTCATGGAGCTATGCAGACACATACTGTGTTCCAAGAGGGCTTTTCAGACACGGTACAATAATAATATTCTCACTGTTAGTAAGCTCCAACTTTATAAAAATGTATCTGGCAGAAAGTGGCTTCCCCGAAAAATCCTGAGCCTCAAGGCACCTGCTACTAAAAGTCTGACCAAGATACAACTTTTCTTATTTTAGTAATGCATATTGAGGAGTTTTATATACGTGTTTATCTGCTTAAATATATTTCTGAAATTGCAAATGTTTGTACTGGACTGGTTTTTACCACCACAACACCAAGTCGTTCTCTCTCACCCAGGCGTTAGTGGTGCACACCTTTAATCCCAGCACTCGGAGGCGGAGGCAGAGGCAGACAGATCTCTGTGAGTTTGAGGCCAGCCTGGTCTACAGAGCGAGTGTCAGGATAGGCTCCAAAGCAATACAGACAAACTCTGTCTCAAGAAACAAAACAAAACAAAACAAAACAAAACAAAAAGTTCACTCTCAATTTTAATAGTCAATAGTGCCCATCTCCAGGGGCAGGCAGGTTTACTTAAAAAAATCATAAATACAAATAACCAAATGGACAAGCTACTTCGAAAAGTTGATTCCCCTTATACGGAAATTCCTTACAAATCAAGGTATAAAAAGTAAACAAAGTTTATAGAAAACCAATTATAAAAGCAAATGGTCAGAATCTACACAAACCTATATTTAATTCCATATAATAAAGAAATCCAAATTAAATAAAAACAAAGATTTACTTTTCAACCAACCAGTCTCCAAACTGAGCTATTTTGTTTTGACAAAGGTCAAAGTGTTACTTTTTATCCATCAAATTGGAAAATCAAATTTGCTTTTCTATTGCCACGATAAAACAAACAAAACAACAACAACAACAAAAAAAACACTCTGACCAAAAGCAACCCAAGGTAGGGTTTATTTGGTTTCTGCTTCCAGTCACAGACCATCATCAAGGGAAGTCAGGCCAGAACTCAAGCTGAAATCACACTGCTTGCTGGCTTGCTCTCTGGCTCATGCTCAAACTTCCTTCCTTCCTTCCTTCCTTCCTTCCTTCCTTCCTTCCTTCCTTCCTTCCTTCCTTCCTTCCTCTTTCTTTCATTCTTTCTTTTTTTTGTTTTTTCAAGACAGGGTTTCTCTGTATTGTTTTGGAGGCTGTCTTGGTACTTGCTCTGTAGACCAGGCTGGCCTGGAACTCACAGAGATCCTCCTGCCTCGGGTTCCAGAGTGCTGGGATTAAAGGCGTGCGCCACCACCACCAGCCAGGCTTCAAGCTTTCTTATAAAACCCAGAACCACCCACATAGGGATGGTGTCACCCACAGCGGACTAGGGCCATCCCACATCAATTATCAATTCAAGACCAATAAGATTGAGGCAATTCCTTGAGGTTTCCTCTTCCCGAGTGACTCTAGGCTGTGTCAAGTTGACAAAAAAAAAACCAGTTTTTAATATTTTAGTACTGCCTGGAAAAAAGAAACGTGCTCTCCCATAGACTAATGGAAGAGGAAGTGGCTCGCCTTCTGCAGTGCATGCTGGTCACATATGAATGCTTTAATGTGTTTGGGTCCTGAGCCACATTTACAAATTAGTGTCAAGTCAGTAACTATACAGGTGCACCACACTTCATCTACATAATGCTGCTGCTGATCACTGCAGGAGCCCAAAAACCTCCCTGTGGACCAGAAACTGAAAAACCATGATTCTGAAACCAGACGAAGAAATATTTGGAAGCTAGAAAAAAAAATGTTGTGGGGACCTTTATTCTCTTAAAGTCTTTTTTTTTTCTTTTTTGGCATGAAAAAAATGTTTATAATACCACAACGTATACAGAATGACTCTCTGGTATTTATGTATACAAGTCATAGGAAGAATTTTTAAGTTTTTAAAACTAATGTTCTATTTGTATGGGGGCAAAAACAGGCAAGTTTCACTATATGTTTACATGATTTTAGTAGTATGTGTGTTTACGTTGTCATGGAGACCATCTTCAGTTGAAAAGAAAGAAAGAACTCAAACAATGGGACTCCGGGGCCCAGAACTAACAGTATGTCCTAAAGGTCTTCCCATATAGGGGAGAGGGCTAAGGAGTGGCCTAGATCTCATTGATGCCACAAAAATGCTCTGTCACAAAGCTACAGGCCCAGCCCTTCCCCATTCTAAAATCTAATCAGATAAGAAGACAATACTTCCTCTAGAGCAGTGGTTTTCACCCTTCCTAATACAATTCCTTTGCTGTGTTAGTGCCGAATACCTTCTTCAATACAGATCCTCATGTTGTGGTGACCCCCAACCATAAAATTATTTTGTTGTTCCTTCATAACTGCAATTTTGCTACTTTTACGAATCATAATGCAAACATCTGATATGTAGGATATCTGATATGTGATCCCACAAAGGGGTCACTACCCATAGGTTAGGAACTGTTGGTCTAAATGCTTATAAAAACACACATACATATTTGATTAGTATTTTAACTCTCAGATCACATGTGGTGGAAAATAAATAACAAAGAATTACCTCTCCTATGAAGACAACTATAACGCAGTCCAGCTTCTCTTCAGGATACAGATTATCAATCAGGGAATGAAGGGTTTCTATGAGGTAAGATTTAACTTCTCTCTTCACGGTAGGAATTCCCATTACTATTGAAACTGGAAAAAAAAACACAGTAATTACATAAAAAGATTTTATAATGACAATATAGACAAATGTATAGGAATAACAGAGGAATGCAGTTTTAGAAAGAAAAAGGCTAAAGTGCTATAATTCTCTTCCACATGGCTAGGCCAGGGGTGTGTGCAAACACCACAGCAAATAAGCGATAATAAGACTAACCCTCATACCAGAACAGCTGCAAACAGCAGGCTATGCCACAGGTAAAGGTCAGAAGCACGACCCATCTGACACTCAGCGAATGTCTTGTATTAGCAGCAGCTTAAGGGAACCACGCAGGCAAAGAGGCACCAGGCAAGCACAATTTGGGGACAAGTCACAAAATAACAGCCAACACACTTTACAGTGTCAAGAACTGCCCTAGACAAAAGACTAAGAAAAAATGACGAAGTAATGATGTAAGGGAACACGGATTCTAAGAACAGAAAAATGAGCACGGTAAAATCTCGAGTGAGATCTATGATTCATTAGCAGTATAGCATCAATGTGAACTCCCTGGTTTGGGTCCTTGTGCTGTGAGAATGGATGATGGGAATATTTGAGGGTGCTGGGTCCTCATCTGGCAGAGGGAGCTTTGTGAATTACTGGTTGTGTACAACCCTTAAAAAGTTCCAAAATTATAGTTCCTACTACACTGCTTGTGATGAATGCAAACTTACTCCAGCATGGCTAATGCATTAGGGAACAATTTGGATGCAATATGAATTTCACATTTGCTGATGTGTGATTTCTTCTCTGAGACACACAGTAGGTGGACACTGGACAAATGAACCCAGCTAAACCAAGTTTAGAAAAATGAACCAAATCATGTGGGAAAACACAAAACAGCACACACCTTAAACATTTACCAGCTGCTATGAAAACAACCATCTGCATCATCCACAAAGGGTGTATATCTGATTTCAGACAACTCATCTGGCTGCTCACAATAGCCTCCAGGCTAGAGCCCTCCTCTATCAACTCTATCAGAAGAGCCTCTGGGGGTCCTTAAGCAGAGTACCATATTTGCTGTAGTTAACGTGCCATTTATAGGGTATTCTTCATGTGTAACTGACAGAGTTCAGCACAGTGATCATAACCCCATTTTTTGTTTTGTTTTTTTTTTAAACTGGCTCAGTGATGTGAGGGATTCCACAGAACTGATTGCATTTCAAAGTCTTTTTTTGAAAAATTGTATCTTAAAGCCTTAGCATTCTAAGTATTATACACACACCACAGCAAATGCTAAAAATAGCCCTAAACCAGGTGTGCTGGCACACACCTTCAACCCCAGCACTCAGGAGGCAGAGGCAGGCAGATCTCTGTGAGTTTGAGGCCAGCCTGGTCCTAGAAAAGCCAGGACTACACAGAGAATCCCTGTCTGAAACGAAACAAAAGTCAGCCTTAAGCACGGAACAATTTACTGAAGAGGCTAAGAGCTGCCTGGAGCTCTAAGGCTTAGAAGGGGGCTTGAAGACAATGGATCTACCCTCCTGTTCTGCAAGTGGCACCACCAAGGAACGAGCTGCGCAAGAACCGTTCCCTCCGGTAGCATCTCTCCCACTCTACAGATGACAGCTGTCAGTGCCTCCAAGATGCACCCTACTTGCTCTGCACCTACTGTGTGCAAGGCAGTATTCTGGGCAGTGGGTGTAAAACGGGGGACAATTTGAGTAATGCCTTTGCTTTCATGAGACTTGTGAGAGCGGAGGAAGAACACTCCAGCAGAGGAAGCAGCAGGACGTGAAGACATGATCATCTCGACATAAGCAGGATCAAAATAGATCTGAGGCAGAAACGGCCTCGTGGAGAGAGTCAGACGTCAGGTCAAGCATACCAAACTGAGTTCAACTCTGAGCAGAATAGACAGTCATTGGGAGGTTGTGAGCCAGGAAGTCACATTCCCAATTCTAAAACTTATTTCCTTCATGCCAGAACAAAGAAAGCAGAAACTGTCCAAATTCCAAATTTAGCATTCCCAGTCTTCAGTTATAACTAAGTTATGTTCCGTGTTTTAGCATCCCCTGCTAGTTTTAGCCTTTCTTGTTTCCTTAAGACGTGATGTTGAGCCGGGCGGTGGTGGCGCACGCCTTTAATCCCAGCACTCGGGAGGCAGAGGCAGGCGGATCTTTGTGCGTTAGAGGCCAGGCTGGACCGATAGCCTCCGAAACAATACAGAGAAACCCTGTCTTGTAAAAACCAAAAAAAAAAAAAAAAAAAAAAGGCGTGATGTTGGCTCTTCATTCCTGTCTGTCTTCCCAGCTTTATTTCCCTCTTTTCCTGGACATTTGCTGCTGGTAAACTTTCGAGGCTCAGTCCTAAGCCCTGGGTGATCTCATTCATACACACTTCTTCAGCAACCACTCACTCATGAATGACTCACGGCCTTAAACCTAACTGGAGAGTTCCCCTCTGAGTCCCATATTCAAATATCCAAATGCCTGGTTGACATCTATCTACGTGTCAGCATCTCAAAGCTTCCTCAAAACTTGACTTGCCCAAATTTAGCTCATCCTCTTCTCTTGAATACCAGTGCTGCGAGCTAGAGAGAAGGCCCCACGGATAATAGCAAGCACTGGCTTGCAAAGGCTCTGACTTTGACTCCCAGCACCCACAGCAGGTGGCTCGCAGTAGCCTCTGACTCCAGGGGATCTCACACCTTAGCCCTCCCCAGGTACCACAGCCACATGCACACCCCCACACACACACTGCATAGTTAAAATGCAATAAAAATAAGACTTAAAAACCCACGCTGTTGAACATGCTTTACCCTCCTGGATTTCAGGTCGTCCACCATTTGTCCAGTTATCCCATCTGGAATCTTAGAATTCTCCGCGACCATTCCCTCAAGCCCAGCCCCAGTCAGTCCCTCTGTCCTCTCCTAAGTACTCGAAATTCATCCAAGCACCTCTAAAATCACCCACAGTGCAAGTTCACCCTGTCTCAAAGGCATAACTAAAAGCCTATTATTTGTTTTTGCGTTTTTTGCTTTTAAGTTTATTTATATTTCATGTACATTGGTGCTTTGCCTACATGTATGTCTGTGTGAGGGTGTCAGATCTCCTGGAACTGGAGTTACAGACGTCTCTGAGCTGCCATGTGGGTGCTGGGAATTGAACCTGGGTCCAACAGAAAAACAGCCAGTGCTCTTAACCACTGAGTCATCTTCGGCCCCCAAGCCTATTTGTTTTCCCACTGTTTCTTTGTTAAGACTAGTCGGTCTTCACATTGCAGTCCTCTTTCTCAATACCAAGTGCTGGGCTCACAGGCCCAGGTACTGTGGTCAGCTTAAAATAGTTCATCTGCCTCTCACAACCTCTCTTCTCCCCACACCCTCACGCTCTCCCCCGCTGTAGCAAACATGATTTTTGTAAACTTTAAATCTTAACCTATCTGCAACCCTTCAGAGCAGTGGTTGTCAACCTTCCTAATGCTGAGACCTTTTAGTACAGCTCCTCATGCTGTGGTGACCCCCAACCACAAAATTATTTTCATTGCCACTTCATGCTGTAATTTTGCTATTGTTATCAATCGCAATGTAAAATATATGATATGCAGGATATATGACATGCAACCCCTGTGAAAGTGTCATTGGGTCACAAAAGGGGTCGTGACTGCTGCTTTAGTGGCTTCCTACTAATGCTAAAAAAGCAAAATCCCATCACTGATCTCGAATTCCCTACAGTCTTTAGCTTCAAATAACATCTCTAGCTTCCTTTGGCTTGATATGGTTTATCTACCCACCCGTTTCAGTCACATTGGTCTTCATCTATCTTCTAGAATATTTCATGCTCAACTTCCACCCCAGGGCCCTTCCAATGCTCTTGTTTTTTCTCATCGTGGTAGAAAGCATTAATGACTTCAACATGCCCAGGCCCTAATACCTGAAACCCATGAATGAGTTAACTTACTGATGCAAGGGGCTTTGTTAGTGGGACTATGTCAGGCCTCTTGGGATGGTAAGATTTGTGGGCGGGACTAAGTCAAACATCATGGGATAGGAAGATATATGGGCAGGACTAAGTTAGGCATCTTGGGATGGTAAGATTTGTGGGCGGGACTAAGTCAAGCATGGGACAAAATAACCAAAAGGTTATTTTGGATTACCTGATATGTTCAATATAACCCAAGGGGCTTTACAAAAAAAAAAAAAAACCCTAAGAACAGTCAGAGTGAGCAGAAGAAAGAGGCCCCAGGGAGAAATCTGAAGATATTATGCTTTGAAGATAAAGGAGGGGCCACAAAGGAATATTGGCAAACTGTTGAAACTAGAAAAGGACAGGAAATCAGTCTACCCCTATGCTCTGAGAAGTACGTGTTACTCTTGAAGAGAACCTGGGTTCTATTCCCAGCAACCACATGGTGGCTCACAACCATTCATAATTCTAGTTCCAGGGGACCCGACACCCTCTTCTGACTACCTTCTGAGGGCAGCACTCCTGGTATTACATGGGGCATACTCATTCAGCAAATAAGTCTTTAAAAAAATAACACAAAATGAAATTCAAACCTGAAAGGATGATACACACCTGCAACCCCAGCCACTGAGGAGGGTGAGGGAGAAGGAACTGTGTTCTAAAGAAGCCTGGGCTTCACAGTGAAACCTCGTTTTAAAATAAAAGTCCCCAAACAACCACAAAGGAAAATGAATTTCAATCTCTCTAGAGTCATTGTTTCATCAATCTTAATATTCTGGTCTCTATATCTTAAAACCTATGAAGAAAAAATCAAATTAAATTGTCCAAGTTCAATTAACTCAAAAATTTTAAACTCAAGCAAAAGTGAAGAACTAGAAATATTAAGTAGCCAAAAGATCCTATAAGGAAAATTCAAGGGCTATGATGGGCCAAGGAGAAAAAGCAGCAAATTCAAGTGTTATCACATGGAAAGCTCATGAGTGACAATGCCACTGTCTGTCTAGGGAAAAGTAGGACAGACATGAGACCCGGTGACAGGACTGTGAAGAGTCATCCATGCTGGAATAAGACACAGCGGTGAAGGTCATCCCTCTACCTCCCCATTTTTAAAAGAAAATTTACAAAGGCTTAAGACTGTATCTGCCTGAACTATAGGTCTACTAAATCCCACTCTGATACATGGAGAAGAAATGTCCATAGCCTTTCAAAGAGCAGTTTGGACTGAGCCCCAAGGTGCTGTTCGTAGATTTGGGGGGGGGGGGGGAGAACTTTAATCCTTTGTCCTACTAGACCTGGTTCTAGTGGTGAAAATCACTTGCCAACCCACAGTTCAGAGAGCAGGCCCACGGTGAACGCACCTCCCCCGTCTTCCACTGCCGATCTGCACCGCAGGCTGAAGGCTTCCTTCATTTTGCAATAAATGAGGCAAATGATAATAAATACTTGGCACTTGAAGGGATTTTTTGCTTGTCAGCTCCTTTAGTAGCTTTATGGTACTATCTGAAACACAGAAAGACAATTAAGTGGTGAGAATCCCCTTCCCTTACAGAAGCCTCTGATGGCCCCCTCTTGGAAACTATCCAACTTACAAGAATGACAACTAAGCAGGCTCTAAATATGTCATCTACATATGAAGTCAACAGCAAACACAATGGCCACCACTGAATTACACTTTCCTGTCTCTTCTTTTTTTTTTCTAAGACAGGTTGTTGATATATGTAGCTAGCTCAGGTTGGCCTCAAATCTGCTACAAACCCATATTCTGCGATCCCAGGCATGGGCCACTGCTCCAGTCCAACGTTCATTTAATTATGCATTGCTATTTCATCAAACTTTTATATAGAAATTGTATCTCTCTAAAAAGTTTAAGTGAAAAAAACTAACAGTAGAAGTAGAGAATGCTCAGCACGTGTCAATCTTCAAGTGGTTTCAGTTTCCATCTAGGGGAACCAATGAGTCACTGGATAGGTTATGGACTAAAAGCTTCTGTTAATTACACAATATTGCTTCAAATTTTCATCAAACTGAAATTTCACCTCCTAAACAAGGAAGTTAGCAGGAAGGACTTGTGACCACAACACCACTAAAAATATGACAAGAGGACTGGAGAGATGCATGGATCAGTCATCAAAGGTGCCTGCTGCTCTTCCAGAGGACCCTCCTCTGGCTCCCTTGGGCACTGCACACATGTGGTAGACAGACATACAGGCAGAAAAACCCACCCACACCAAGCTCACATATATAGTATCATAATGAAACTAAAGCTGAGCCTCACTGTAAAGAAATCAGTGTTACAATACCCTACTCCCACCCAACCGTCAGCAACAGCATGAACGCCGCTCAAATGCCAGTCATGGTGCAATTACTGTTCCAGAGATCCAGCAGAATCGAAGGCCCTGAAACAGTCTGTCCTGTGACTCAGGCATTTCCTCTTGGTTTTGGCTTTTATGCATTCAACAGATACTTAATTGCTTTCTGTCTTGTTCCAGGAATGGTGCCATGTGTTTGAAAATCACCGGCCATCAAAACATAATCTAATGAAGATCACAAGGGCTGCCAGAAATGCAACCAATTGACACACAGAAATGTTTCTCACAGAGCTGTGATTTAGAGGAGAAAAAAAATGACCCAGGAAAACATTCATTTGCTAATTATAGAAGGAAATGCTTAATTTGCTGTGGTTTATGATTAGCACATTAGCTATTAAAGTATTGTAGCCAGTGTGGTGAGTGCATGACTCTAATCCTAAGCACTAGGGAGGCTGAAACAGGAATGTTGCAGTCTGACGTCTGCCTGGGCGACATAGAGACCTCTTGATCAGCCTGGGCTACAGAAGGAGATCTTATCCCATTAAAACAAAACTTTAATGTAGACAGTATTTTGGCGAATGCCAGACATTGTGGTGTGTACCTGTTATCCCAGCACTCGGGAGGCAGAGGCAGGCGGATCTCTGTGAGTTCAAGGCCAGCATGGTCTACAGAGCCAATTCCAGAACAGCCTCCAAAACAATACAGAGAAACCCTGTCTCGAAAAACCAAAAAAAAAAAAAAAGAATGCCTCATAGTATAATTTCAAGAAAATATTTTGAAAAAATATGTATAAAAAAGACTACAAGGAAACAAAAAATGTTGCTAATAGAAATCATTGGACCACGCTTCTGGGTGATTTTCTGTAACTGTAGCACTCTGTAATTGTAAATGATACAGTGACAAAACACAGTGTCCTCAGGAGGAGAGGGAGGAAACACAAAACTTTGAGAACGTGGTCAGGTGTGGATATCAAGATGCAAGGCATCCCTGGCTGGCTTTGTCCAGAGTACATGAAGTTGAATCTAAAATACCAGTCTGGAAAGGGCACCGGGGCCTGGCGCACTGGCGCAGACTCTGAACACCTGGATTATCAGTGGCAGAAGGCGTAGCCAGAGAGAAGCGGTGCTCCTCTGACTCACAGCGTCCCCAGGAGAGGACCAGAGGGTTCCCAGGTATGCACTATAAGCCAGGCTTCTTCCTTATTATCATACAGATGCAAGAGTAGCTCATAGACTTCCTCAGAGCCATCTAAGGTCAAACACTGGTTATAAGCATTCTGAAATAAAAGTTAAAACCAATCTTTCAATTTTAAAACCCTTATATGGGGGTGGGGAAGAAGACGACAATGTGGGACCAGGGACTGAACCCAGGGCTGTTAGGCTTGGCGTCAAGCTTTCTTTGACCACTGAGCCATCTTGCCAGCCCAAAAGTTAAAATTTAATCTCATTATGAATGCTTTCAAAAGATACAGGTTCCTCACTACTACCGATGAAATGTACACAACTGAAATGCAAAAGTATTTTGTCAAAATCAAATTCAACAATGAACAAAAATACGTTAATTCACCAGAATAGCAAATTTTGAGGGATTTATTTTTTCTTTCTGAAAAGGGCAACACATGCCGACTGGCAAACTATTCACAGAACTCTCCAGTCACACACTCCATAAAAACTTTTGACATATACTACTTTTAGGTACCTGAAAATGTATTCGATACAGCGTTACTTCCATTACTTGTTGCTCCTACGCGGCGAAACTGTTGGACAATGGCGTTCAACTCAGAAGAGCGTTGAGATATCCTATGTTCAGCTATTCGAAGGCGTTCTTTTAAAGCAAGAAATTCTCGTTGATAAGCAATTAGTTTTTCTAGAAGCAAACAAAAAATCATTAGTATGATTTGTCTTTTAATATACGTCTTTAAAAAATAGCAACAACAACATACTTCTACAGTTCAAGGTAATAGGCTATGCACAAATCCTAGAGGACATCTATTACTGCCATTTTCCTAACCAATATCATTTCTTTTTTTTTTTCAATTTAAGGTCATTTTAATTTCGAGCAAATGAGCCACCAATATCATTTCTAACCATGCTCTAAATGCGTGTCCTTCTACCCACAGGTAAGTAGAGTTCTCACTCCTCATCCAAGAAGCAATTTTGTCAACAGAAGGAAAACTATCATAGATCCACAACTCATCAAAATGCAAATGACCACATGGCCTAGCCCCAACTGATAGATCTACAATGCAATACACCTAAGGCTCAGGGAAAATCACAGAAGTGGGGAGGGGTCAGAACGATCCTAAGGGCCAGAGGACCAGAGAGCCTCCTGCCAATGTCTTCTAGACATGGCAAGGAGGCTTGCACCCATGAAATCTCAACAATATGGTTGTCTAAATGAGACCTAGATAGTGAAACCACCAGTTAACATGTCAATGTGTATGGGGGAGATTTTTGCAAGGCTCCACACCCCCTAGGTAACTAACTATAGGCCGGCAATGACTAGTGAGGGAGGGAGAATCCGTTTTCTTCAGGGATGAGCGCCATGATGGGTTCTCCAATCCCAAACGGTCAGTCCTAAGTACATGTAAGTATATGTAAGTAGGGGGGCATGTACTCCTTGTGCTCACACAGAAGCACTAGAGGGAACCAGGAATGTTAAAACTCACAGGGCTAGCTCTTCACGGGGAGAGATGTATAACCGGTTTTCAGCCCAGAAGCTGGGAGCAGACATGGTTAACAGCCTGGTGACCTTTCTGTGTGGCTGTGCCATATCAAATCCTCCCGTAGACCCTTCTCTCGAGCTTGTTTGTCTCAATCTGTAACGGGCTTCTCCCCCCCACCCTGCCTTATCTTGAACTTGTTTTCTTGGTTAATCTATAGAACCCATCTTTATGGAAGATGTCCCTCGCCCTTTACAAAGAGTTTTGATGTAGTCATGTCTTCAGCTTTGTTACGTACATGGGACTGAGTTCATTATCACCAGGAAGCTTTTTTCCAAGCGTGTGTGGTGAATATGCTTAAAATAAATGACTTGAGGTCAGACTTAAAGTTTGCACCGACACCAGCTACTGAGTCATGCTGAACCAAACAGCCTTCTTGCCTCCTGCAGACCATGACTCTACTGGCCGTCACGGTCACAGAGAACCCTGTACACGTACAGATGAGCAACATGAAATAGACTCAGCAGGCTGTATATCCGTTCATATAAACATGTATATAACATATGTAGCAATAATAATTAAGGAAGAGGTCATGAGTTTGAGAGGGAGTTGGAGAAGACACAGGAGCCATTGGAGGAAGGAAACAGAGGGGTGAAAAGCATATAAATACAATGCTAATGTATAAAATTTGCAAAAAATTCTTAACTAAAATTAAAAAATAAATCATCTGTACAAATGCTTTCAAAATTTAAAGTATACTTCCAAAAATAAACTAACAAAACTGCAAGAACAGATATATAATTAAAATCCGTATTTTGCAAGAAAATAACTCACTGCACTAGAACTAAAAAAATCAAAACAGGTCCTCACTTGTTGGACAACAGAGTCCCTACTAACTTAGTTACTGTAAGAATATGAGGACTCTACGGAGCTGCATAGTGAAGGCCTGTCTGGAGGCGTGGGAAGAGCCCTCATCACCCACACCCCCTGTAACGCTGGTGAAAGCCTGTGAAAGCACTGCTCACTGCCCCTCTTTCAGGTACACACAGTAAACTCTTCAGAAGTACGTGGCAGGGTGATCAGCTGACACGGCACCCCGCTTTCCTGACACTGAGAAGCAATGCCACGTAAGCTGCCACACCCACCCCCCACAAACTTGCTGTAGAAAGGACAGAAATCAGCGGGTACTGTGACGAGGAGAGGCTTTGAAGGAAGTTCAGGGTGCCACTGTGTCCCATTTACTGATGCAGGTGACACATTCCATACTCTACATTCCTGGCATAGGCACTTTTCTGTGTAAATCCGCAAGAGAACAAATGCTAAGATACCATTCATAAATCCAAAAGCTGAAAAAGCCAGATGTGGTGGTGGATGTGGGGTCCCAGCTTCTCAGAAGCAGGAGGGTCACAGAGCACGACCCCAGCTCAGAAACAGAGCCATGATCAATAATGTTTCAATGATTATCACAGGAGGCACGATTTATGACAAAAACAGTAAAACCAAGTTGGCTAGGTGGAGGGTGGGGGGGTTATAGAAATCACCTCTTACTCCTGAACGGGAAGACCCAGTCCTGCAGAACAACCCCCCCCCCAACTAAATAACAACCTCAAGTCAACACTTTGCAAAATGACAACTGGGGAAGGAGGCTAGATGTATTCTCAAGTTTATCTATGAGAACAACACCTTTTAAAACGTCTGGAAAAATCCTATGGGGAGTGTGGTCTGAGATCAGATCCTACCCCGAGAGAAGGAATTAAGTGTGTGGCCCAGTGTGCCCCTCCCGAGTCTGGAGACTGTCAACAGGCACATCCACCCCAGCAGCACCCAAACGGTGCTGGTGAGTGAGCAGCCTAATGTCCCTCCCCTTGAGACCCAGGGAGTGCCAGCACACTGGTTTTTGAATATCACTTGTCACAAAAAAAAAAAAACCCTAGAACTCACTGGAGAAAAATAACTTCAAAGGAATAACATTTGAAGACAAAAAGAGAGCCGGTGGCATGGCGCTGTGGATAAAGGCACTTGCTGCTCATGCCCAGAGACCCAAGTTCAAGCCCCTTCCATTTAATGGCGAAACAATCACTCCACAAAGTTGTCCATGGGCAAACTGGCCTCCACAACAATAAATTTAAAAAAACTTCTTAAAAGACAAAATGACAAGGCATTGTCAGAAGGACACAAAGCTACATAAAGGGACTCTTGCTAGCTACATTGGGACAATTTAAATAACAAAACTAAACTACTAATGGTAATAAATTATCACCCGTTTAATAAAATCGGAACCAACAATAGAGCAGAAGTTCTCAGATGAGGGGACAGAGTATCTTACTGTAGAACTCCAGTAACTAACCAACAGCTGAGAGTTACTGTTCTGCAACCATCACAGCAATAACTGATTCAGACAAGAAACAAAGATGGATGCTGTAACTACCAGGTGCAAATCTGGTAAGGAATGAGGTATTTACATCATCTCAAAGTATCTCCTCACCAAGTACTTATTTTACGCAGGGACAAATACTAATTTTAGAGTGGGGAAACTTGGCAGACATCCCTTATATTAAGGGAGTGGCCAGGGTTCCCATCAGCAATAACAGGGCCAAGACTAGCACCTCCTGCAGAGACGCACCAAGAACACACAGGGCTCCTTACTCGGTGTTCCTGCCAACACCACGTGATCTCAATCTAATCTGAAGGGAACAGCAGACCAGACGGACCTGAGACAATGTATGAAACACATAGCGTGGACCTCAAATGATGTGGAAGGTTGCCAAAGGCGAAGGCACGGGCTATGGGAACACCCGAGACTAAAGACTGGAGTCCAGATGACAAAGTGCATAGCACAATCCTGGGTGGATCCTGAATGAGATTAAAGGAGACAGACTACACTGGTATCAGGATCACTGTCAGAAAACACAAAAGAGACTGATGTGGTTTTGGAAAGTCAGTGGGGAAAGTCACTCTACAGTTTCTGACATGGGTACTCTTCTTGGTCCAGGTAGGCCTCATCCTAGTTCTCACACAACCTTCACTTCTGAATCTACCCTTCCACATTAAGAAGTTCCCTACATCAGAGCATACGGCAACATTACATTTTAATCTAGAAAGCAAAGAGCTTTTGGGAAGTTTCTAGAACAGTCTTAGAATTTTTCCAATTTATATTTTCCAAGAATTTAGTTCAAACTTTAATATGCACAAAACTTCCTCCACTGGGGGGGGGTCACACGATGGGACACCACGTGGCAGAAACCTGGTGGATTCTCTATTCCCGTGGGCACATGAATCTGCCTACTGTTTTGTTTCCATTAGAGATGGAATCTAAGTGTAAAACTTCCAAAATAGGAAATTGTTGATGTTTGATCCTTTTGTGAAAATGACAATTTTCATATGATTTGATAATTTGAAATAACTCTTTCGGACTCACTGTAAGAAAAAAAATGATGCACAACATATATGTGCAACATTATGCATGCATAAAATAGAGCAGAAATTTAAAATGTTTAATCAATGGAACCTTCTAATTAAGATATGGGGTTTACTATTGAATGTTAAAATTAACAAAAGTTACATACACCTTTTTAGGTTTTTTGCTTGTTTGTTTTGGCTGTTTTTTTTAAGAGGTTAAGATTTATCAAACTATAAAATTCTGGTTGGAAAGAATGTTGCTTAACTTGCTTTGTTCCTGAATAATGAAATAAGAGGAGGAGGACAGGACTACTCCTAAAGTATGGAGAAGATTTTCATTGTAGACACGAGGGAGAAAGCAGGCAGAGGGAAGAGTCCAGGCTGAGCATGGCCAGCAGATTAAACCAGACCATAAGAGGGGAGGGAGGAAGGAGGGGGTGCAAGAGAGGAGCAGCAGACTAAGAGAGACAGCCTGGGCCAAAGACTAGCATCGCCAAATGGCTGAGTTATATAGAGATAGGGTTGGGGAAAGGGAAGGGGAAGCCCCACCTTCCCCCCAAGGGAGAAATTAGGGTAGGGGGCGGGGTGAAACATGCTGGGAGGAGCTACAGGTTCTGGGTGAGGCTTGTCAAGGGTTTGATTCCTAACAGTCCCTCTGTCCTTCAGTGTCACTTTGCACTCTTTCACAGAAAGGGAAAAAAACCTTACACACACACACACACACACACACACACACACACACACACACACACACACGAGCATCTCAGCATCACCATTCTACAGCCCACGAACTTACTTTTCAGGA